ACCGCTCCCGCAAAGCAGTGGCAGAGCAGCGGGCTGCATCACAGGGCCGCTGCTTGGCTCGGTGCTGTGGCCGAGCACGCTTGCACCCGAGGAGGTTTGGTAGGAAGCGGTTTAAGGGGATTCCAGGTGGGAACAAGTGAGTGGCCAAAAGAAAAAGTGGTCTTTTAACCTGGAAACATTTGCTATGGATCATTGAAATCTTTTTGTTTGTGTGTGTTGGGTTGTATTAAAATGGCCTCAAGTTGCACCAGGGGAGGCTTAGATCGAATATTAGGAAATATTTCTTCACCGAAAGAGTTGTCGAGCCTTGGAACAGGCTGCCCAGGGAAGTGGTGGAGTCAATAAGGGGATTTTTCTTTTCTGTATTTCTCCCCGGACCATTCTTAGGGAGGAGTCTGCATCTGCGTGTGACGGCTGCACCATGCAAAGGCAAACGTTCGACGTTGCCGAACCCGGTGCCGCTGCCAGCAGTTACTGCTGGACTTCAGTTGTGGCGTTCGCCTTTGTGCTGGCGGAGGAGGGCTGACGCAGGTGCTCGGGCCGGGAGCTGGCAGCAGCCGTCGCTCTGTGTTGTGTCAACACAGCTACTCACATTGGTCTGACATTCTTGGAGACTTTGTAGGAAGTTTACCAGGGGTTACGGCAGTCTTATGAAGAATATTACATTGAACAGATTTCAATGCTGTTATTAAATGGCATTCTTGACTGGGTGCCATTTTCCGAGGTCACGGCTTATTCTCCGCACGGAAATTAAATTCAAAACCTGCATTTGAATAATGATAAGGTTATGACTAAAACCAACACAAACAGGGTAGAAGAGAGGGGTGAAATTCAGTGGCTGATGCTTTTCTTGCTTATCTGGAGCAAAGCTCCCACTGTTTCTCGGTGCAGGCTGTCTGGCAGCAGGTACGGAGGCAGTTGTTCTCTGGGAGCATCTTCTGTCACCCCTCGTTCCTGAAGAACAAATACCCAAAGGTGGGCGACTCGTATCGAACAGTTCGGATCAGTCCAGACCTTAGTGTGGGTTTCGTTTGAAAGCAAAAAACCCAACAGACTCTTGTGTTCCCTGCTTTTGATTAATAAAAGGGAAGTGCCTTAAAGGGTTGCTATTCTGGAAACTTGCATTAAAGACGAGACCACATCTGTGCCTGCAGCTCCTGGGGACACGTGGACCAGGCTGGAGGGCGAGGCCAAAGAACATGGTTGCTTTTGGTTTAGTAAGTGATCGGGTGCTACACATTTTCTCACAGTATGGACAGTAAGAGTCTCACAGAGATAAACAGAAATACTGATGAAATGAAATACTGTTCCATGCTGTCAGGTCCTGTCTAGGAGAGCTTAATGAATTGCTGTATTCACAGTGCTGCCTTAGAGCAGGAGCCTGCAGGAATCCAGCCCGTACAGCTTAATCCTCTGCCCTGAGAGACTTCTGTCTTAATTCTTGGGTTGAAAAAGCCAGATAAAATAGCATTTTCTTTTCTCTGGTTCCATATGATTGCTTTCCTGAAATAACCCCTGCTGTCAGTGCAGAGGGATTCAAACAGAAGACACACAGAGCTGTGCCAGGAGAGGAGGCTGCGTCCTAGTGAGCTATGGGACCGAGTTTGTGAGGAACACTCACTGCTCTGTCAAGCCCTGATCTTCAACACGAGAAGCTATGGTCAATATTCACTCATCCTCTTGGATTAGGTGGTAGGGTGGGGCTTTGGTTTGTCCCGTGGCTTTACTACAGCTTCTGTGCATTGCAAAGGGAGATCGGTTCACATTCCTGCAGGACAGAGGTGCTGCCCTCCATTCCCTTGGTGGTGGTGACAGTAGGTGTCATTTTGTGCTGGAAAAGTCCTCATTCACGTGCTCTGAGATTGCTTAAATATCCATCTGTCATTAATGACTCATTAGCTTGTGGCTGTACTCTGTTACAGTTAGGGGTGTCCTGGGCATGCAAGTGTTCCTCAGAGGAGCAGGCTCTGGTTGTAGAAGTGGTCCCAGCTCACTTGGCAGGACCATTACCTGAGGAAAGAGTAGCTGTATGCGCCCGTATCAGTGAGGACTTCCAGGATCAGGCTTTTATAGATGGTGGGATTCTTCTCTTGGCAGTGCTGAGCTTCCTGAAATCCCTTCGTCTGCAAGAACTGAGGACAGTCAAGACTGTTGAAGAGTTAGGTGGTTGCTGGGTATGGTTAAAATCCTTCTAATAGCAATGAGAAGGTCTGTGTTGACTTTGGTAAGGTTTTATATGCTGTACCTCCTCACAACTATATGTTCTGTCTGCAAACAGGTTAAATTACGTAAGTAAACCCTCACTCTTAGAGCTGAAAGAAGTTCCTCTGTTTTCCTACCTGCAAGTCTAACCTGTACCCTATGGAAAACAGGCACAAAGTCATGCTAGTGCCATGGAACAACTCCTCTCTTTTCTCTTGAACTGTAAAAAGGTGAAGGCGTTCTCCGTCAGCCATAAGGTCCACAAAAAGTGTTTTCTCACTAAGATTAGGCTTTGTGTTTCCAAATAAAGCACAGTCAAAAAGATCATTCCTGGAAAATAGTTTAGTAAATTAAACTAATTCCAGCAGCTAGACAATGGTTAGTATAAAGCCCCCTGTAATGAAGGTGTGAAAATGCCTGGTATTTCTGTCTCTCAGCTTCTTTGTTCTTTTGGTATAATGAAATTCTCCACTTTACGTGAATAAAATTGCTTAAATCTGATGCTGAGCCTTGGCACATCTCACACTTGCTTGTACGATGTTTGATCAGAGATTTTCTCTGATTTCACATTACCTCCAGAGCAGTAGGTGGTGAGTGACTGTGCTTTTTACTTCAGCAAGCATCCCACTGCATCCCCGCCCCTGCCGTCGCTGCGGGACGGTGGGGTTGTGCCCATCTCAGAAATGGGGTGAGCTGGGGGACTGGCCAGGGCTGAGCTTGGGGAGAGTCCCGTGGCAGGATTTCAAGCTTGTTACAAAATGCTCCCTGCAAAGCAGTGTCAACCCTCTTGGTCCAATATCCGAGACAGTGAGAGATAATTGAGACCATCCCATGTGCCCAAGGGCGTTTCTGTGTCTCGGAGATGAAATCGTTGCTGGATCATCTTTCCGCATATAAACGACACATGGCAATTTTTCAGGCGTATCTGTGGCTCTGCTAAATCCCAGTGGGTCGAAAATAAAATATATTTGCTCAACTTACACATTAACCTTAAAGTAATACTCTGCTTAGACTATGGGAGAAAGATTGCTTTCTGTTTTCCAGTGGGATATAAGGTGTCTTGGAGGTGTTTCCTCCATATAGAAAGGCTTGCTTGGTATTTCCCCTGAGCTGCAAAGCATCCATGGTGATCAGAGATTGTTGTTCTTGTGAGGACTTGGGTGCACATGAGCAGCGTGTGTGCATGTGAAGATGCAGCACAGCTTTGTTCCCCGCTCTTGGTTCGGTCGGGAGTCCCAAGGTAACTGCCAACAGGGACTAATAAAACTTTGAAATGATTGGGACTTGGTGAGGAGTAGTGTCATTTCAGTTTTGCCCCATTTAGGGAGGGAAAATACTCAGCCTGAGCCTAAATGTTGGGAAATTACTGCTTAAATCATCCCTGTGAAAGTCGTGGGCACCCTTAGTGTGAATTACATCACACACACACTACTGGGATCCAATCTCCATTTTGAACATGGACATGAGAGAAATAGACCCATCTGGTGCCCTCATGAGATCCGCAGAGAAGAGTCCCAGATTATTCCCTACTGTTTTAGGTGTTTGGTTGATGTTCCTCAGACTCTCTGGGTGTCTGGCTATAGCCAACAGAGCGATAAAAGACGGCCAGGGTAAGCACATCTGTCAGGCGCCTGAAGGTATTCAGGACAACACCCAGTAGGAACAACAGCCAGAGCAGGCTGGCTCATGAGAGACATTATATATAAAGGCAGAGCTTGAGGACAAACTTGCTGATCCCCACCTGCAACGGAGACTGTCTCCACAGAGCACCAACATCTAGTCTGTGCAGGTACACAGGGAGAGGTGAGGGTATCCTCAGCATCTTCTGTGGCTGGGATGACCCAATAAGCCGAAGTGGAGAAGCTCGTTGCTCTTTCAAACTCCAGTGAGCTCCCTTTTGCTTTTTTCTTTCAAAGAGATGCTGCCTCATCTGATGTGTGGTCCTGACTTGAAGACAGGGGACAGACCTGAAATCAAAACGTGCCACAGCGATTCAATTCCAGTGTATTTGTCCTTCCCAGGTCAGTACTGCTGCTTCTGAAGAACCCCACCTTCATCTTCCTCTGCTTAGCGGGAGCAACTGAAGCCACACTCATTGCTGGGATGTCCACATTTGGACCCAGGTTCCTGGAGTCTCAGTTTAGTTTAAGTGCCTCTGAAGCTGCTACGTTTTTTGGTAAGGAAACCAGGTTTTTGCAATGTTTTCCCATTTTTCCTACAAACACAAGAGCACTGTAGCTCATTTAGAATGGAGACAAACACGCTTTGCTGTTCATTTACAGAGCAGTTATTGTCTTCAGCCATCAGATAGGATTGTTTCCCGTCAGCCCATTGGCACTAAGTGTGTTTTTGGAGCTGTGTCTGCTGAGATAAGGAAGAAATGTGTCACTTCTGTAGCCATCTGTTACCCTCTAGAGGAAGACAAAATAACTGTAGTCTGTTCCTTCTAGTGCATTACTAGGAAACATTAACTAAATGTTTCCTCTGACGAGGGGTGTCTGAACTGGGGGACAGATTTTGTCAGCATCCTGAAACTGGGAAGATCCTCATTTAACTGTCACGTCCTAGACCAGGAAAGTTTGATCTGTGGTGTCTAATAAGCATCAATACTCATGATGTGCTCCTCAAAGAGTCTGTTTTAAGATCTTTGGGTAGGAAAAGCTGCCCTACCAGTCTCGTGTCTCGTTACCCGAGCTGTTATGGGGGACCACCTACTGCAGCAAAGTCCACTGAACTCCCACCAAGAAGCCACGCAGCCGCCGAGGGGTTATTCTCATGCAGACACACTGTTGTTAATGCGTTCAGACATGAAAGCTCCTTGCTGACATTTCTAAACTCCGCTTGTGGTTTGTTTTTTTTTTCCTTTTTTTCAGGTTATCTGGTCGTGCCAGCCGGAGGGGGAGGCACGTTCCTGGGAGGGTTCCTTGTGAATAAATTTAAACTCCGCTGTTCAGGAATCATCAAATTGTGTTTACTCTGCACCGTGTCAAGTCTGCTGGCTATATTCATTTTTTTTATTCACTGCCCTAACATGCCGATGGCGGGAGTAACCCAGATGTACGAGGGAAGGTAATAACGATCATCCCGTCGGTCTTGTGCTGCGTGGTCCTGGTCAGAATAGAAGGATAACTGCGAATATATGGTGCTGGTGGTGGTCATGTGTGAATGTGGTGGTGATGGAAGATGATGTCCTGTCAGCCTTACAGGCAGATACTGAGGGTGAAACCCAGACTACAGGTGTCCTGATTTTTGCGTCTAGTTGGAGTTTGTGGAAGAGTCTTGTGCTGTAGTCAGGGAGGGGAGATCAGCAGCGCCAGAGTGTGAGATACTCCACTCTTCAGTTGCCTTCACAGGATGCACCGTCTCTATCTATGGGATAAACTGGACTAAAAGCGGGAATCTCCTCTCCAAATGGAGGTCTCCCTATGAGCTGCTCACTTAAACTCCCTTGGTAGCCTTGGGAAAGAGACAGCTCCAGGGCACAATTCCTGTTCATGGGTAAGAAGGAGTGAGACAAACCCTTCCCAAGCCTGGGTTGATGCTGCTTGGGGATCCACTGCATCTCCTACCATCCCTGCTTCTCCTCTTGCTCTACCTATTCCCTTCTGGAAAACGCTGCTCGGTGTCTCCCCGCTGACTGCTCCCGTGTTCCCCTTAGTGCTTTGCCTGGCGGCCGCCTAAACCTGACAGCAGCCTGCAACGCCGGGTGCGGCTGTCTACAGGAGACCTACAGCCCTGTCTGCGGGAGCGATGCCGTCATGTATTACTCTCCCTGCCACGCCGGGTGCAAAAAAGTGTCTGAAATCCTCAGGAATGGCAAGAAGGTATGTCTGAAAGCACTGTGTATTATCAAGGGGGTGGCATATCTTTGGAGTGATTTGGCTGGCTCTGCAGAAGTGTCCACGGGTTTGAGCTTTGCTGCCAATCGGTGTAAAAGCCTGGTGCAGTGTGGATGCTTTCGGGCACCACCTGGGATAAAGGCAGAAGGTACCCTCAGGTTGCCCTGCTTTGCTTCTCTCAGTGTGTCCAACCGGTTTTGCCAGAGGGTCAAACTGCTCTGAAATCTGTGATAAATCACCCAGGCAGGTGGGGAGCTTGGTGGGCACCGAATTCCTGTCCTGATGCTTGTTCTGGGTCTTCAGCGAATGCAGTGCATCTCCTCATCCCTCCAGCGTGTCCCTCCCTGAGACAGGCACAGGCTTAAGAAGGGTAACAATGACATTCAGCGTTCAAGGGCTTCCTGGCAAAGTTTATTGCTGTTATTTAATCACCGGTTTTGAAACAGAGGTGTGTCAAGAATGCAGTTTGATTTCTGCTTCGCTCTGCTCTGCGACTGAAGCCGGCTGGTTTCTGCTCTCCCTGAATTTCTTTCTCTTTAAGGTTTGACCATCACCGTGCTCTGCCTAGCAAAGCACCCACCAGCCTTTCTCTCCCAGGTCTATCACGAGTGTAGCTGTGTTGAGAAAACCCTCCTGCCCGGCCCTGGCGACGCAGAGGCAGGGAAATGCACCTCCTCTTGTGCAAAAAGGTCCCTGCTCCTGTTCTTCATGTTCATGGTGATCCTCTTCACCTTCCTGAGCAGTATTCCTGCCCTGACCGCCACTCTGCGGTAAGCACGGGATCGCCTCGCCCTCCGCCAGCGCGGCAAGAGTCCACCTCTCCGCTTTATCCGGCTGGCTCAAGCCATGGGGAAGGCGTGATGGGAACCACCTCGTTACTGGCAGCCTGGAGAAATCAGGTCTAATTCCCTTCCCTGTGTAGCTGGGAAAGAAAATTACAGCATTGGCAGCTCTGTCCTCTGACACCAGGCACCCATGTGTGCGTCCCAGTTTGCAGCAGGGGCGGGGGGGACATGGCACTGGGGTGAAGCTCGGTCTGCAGAGGGGTGGAGGCCCCAGGTGGGGCGTTGCGGGGCGCGGAGGTGCCGTGCAGCCTGGCAGCGTGTTTCAACAACGCCCGTTTGTTCCCCAGGTGTGTCTCTGACAGGCAGAGGTCATTCGCACTCGGGATCCAGTGGATTGTGGTGCGAACGCTAGGTATGGAACAGAGTGAACTCGGGTGTCGATATGGTCCGTTGGCTTTGTGGAGCGTGTGCCAAGCTGTTACCTAAGAATAAAACACGTTGGGTTGGAAGAGAAGGGGGTAGGAAACACGCTGTTGAAAGGAGGATATTTTCTCTGCTTTGCTGTCATTCAGAAAAACCTAATTCCCTTTGCATATGGTTTGCAAACGGAGTGAAGGATTCTGCAACATAGCGCAGGTGGAGTGGAAGAGCAACATCTGGGCAACGTGTCCTTATTTTAAGAAAAAAGGAGCAGAGGTGTTAAGGCTCCTGTGTTTGTCCCTTGGCTCTTCTGCAACATGTGGGTCAGGATGGTCAAAAGACCCGCTGGACTCTCAGATCTTCAAATTCAATGTATCTGGGGTACCTTGTGGCTCTGAGCACAGCTGTAGGTGTTGCAGGAAGAGTTTGCAGAGCCTGATGCTTTGCTGCGAGCACCTCGCGTCTTGCAAGGCTGGTGCACAGGGGCTGCCCAAAGTGAAGGTCCGCTCTCTCTTCCCGCAGGAGGCATCCCTGGCCCCATCGCCTTCGGGTCCATGATCGATAAATCCTGCCTGCTCTGGCAGGACCAGTGTGGTGAGCAAGGTTCTTGCTACGTTTACCAGAACTCAGCCATGAGCCGATACACCCTCATCGCTGGACTGGTCTACAAGGTGATGCTGCCTGTTAACTTCCGTCTGTGAGAAAGCGAGCGGGTCTTTAGGAGACAGCATTTTGCTCTGGGAGAGAAGTTTACAAAATTGAGTTGTCCTGATCTGCCCCCCCCCAACCCAAATTAGACCTTCACACAAGAAACGTTCTCGGGGAAGGAAAAAGCTCCATTTGCTTCTCGCCAGGTAATGGTGCTCCAGACACCATCATTCTCTTAAATTCTCATTGCTTTCTAGGCTTACAGCTTCTGTTGCACTGTATGAAATATCTCCTCTTCTCCCAACAGCTACCAAAGTGATTTTTTGCTAGAAATGGAATAAAATACATAACTGCAGTGTGTTAGTGAGAGTGAGGGATGGCTTTGTGGGTGGGCTGTAAATAACCATTCCCCAACCACGGGTAGAACATAAGAGAGCTTAGCTGTGTGTTTGTTATTTATTAGCTGAAAACCATCATTTTAAGTGCTCCCAGAGAAGTACTTGGGCTGGATAGTGGTGTTAGTAGTTGCTGTGATAAAGAGGTTTTCAAAAGCCTTCAAGCAAATGGCTCGCACAGTGTTGGTCCGCACAGCACTGTGCTCCAGGTGTCCGTGCGGGGCCAAACTGCTTTCCAGATTCTCGCTGTCCCATTGCTATGGGGACGGCTAAATGCAGATTTTGACGCCCTCCGACTCTGCCCACTGGTCTGCTGCTCAGGCTGGCCCTCAGCATCGTCTCCTTCCCAAAGCTTGGTCATCAAATCTCATGCCAGGTGAGAGCTGGGCGCCTGGTTTTGGGGGGAGCAGAGAGTGACGGGGTGTCTTTGTGGCCGCAGGTGCTTGGGACAACCTTCTTCGTAGTCGCCTGTTTACTCTACAAACCCCTGCCACCAGAGTCGGCTCCGGGCAGCTCGGATACGTCTGAAAACGGCAACGGTGAACTTCCGGAGCACAAACCATCGCTGCCGGCTGAAGGGGATATATAGTGCTGTACGTGTGGAAGTGACTTTCTCAGTCTCAAGAACATGATGAGAAGACGTTATACAGTCCCTAGGGGGTTTTAAATTAATAGTAATATTATCACTTTTTTAGTTCAAGACAAATAATTTAATTAACCACTGGTGCGCTTGCTATTTTCTTAACAGGAGAAGCACATTTAAAATTGTGCACTGATGCCGTATGCAGTTATTTAATTTTATTTAAAGAAAGGGCTACCCTAGCTTTATTCTATGTCTGTGACAAGCAAGGACCGCATTCTCCACTCGTGGAATTAAGCACCGGTAACTCCAATGGAGCATGTGGGATTTAAAACACCAGAGGATCTGGTCCCTAATATCTCAATTGTAAAGCCAACTGTAGCAAAGCTTCTGTTGAGACTTCCTAAGCCTGACAAGAGCACTGCTGTCTGCAGTCTGCGTTGCAAAGAGGACGACTGGCCCTTAAACTGGTGTAGGCAAAGCAGACGGCCCCGGCAGTGTCCTCCTCCTCCTGCCTGTGACACACAGCGTCGCTCCTTTTGTTCAGAAGCTGCTTATCTAATTACGCAAATTCATCTTACTGTGCAATGGGAGACAGGTTTGGGAGGAGATTTGTCTAGCAAATTCATCAGTACACTACAGGCAGCCGACCCCGAGAGCTGCTGAGCACTGTACGTTCACTGCCTCATTTCATTGCAGGGTTTACACCGTGGTGACACTTCATTTTTCTTTCCATGCATTTTTTAAAGGTGATGCCTTTTGTAATGTACTGTGCGAAACTTGAACTTCTTTCTTGCTCTTTGTTGGGCGCAGGAGGGCGTGAGATACAGATCTATGCAATGCTTCTCTTCGGTTGCACTGTGAGAACGTTGAGTTTGGGTAGATGAGAAAAGTCAGAAAGAAGTGAATTTGTCTCTGGACTGGTAGTTAAGGGCTAGCTTGGCCTAATGACAGATTGCCTTCTGGAAAGGGGGTGCTGGCTTGTAACTGGGCTGCGTGCAAGTAGAGAGGGCAGCGTTCCCGCAGTGACCTTTGAATGTGCACTTGCAATATTGACCAGGACCTTTCTGAGGTGAAAAAGTGGAATTCAGGCGGGCGTATGTCTGGCTTCCCTCTCAGGCCAGATCAGGTGAGGTTAGTGCTTAGTCTGCCTGTGTTTGCACAGCCACACGATCCAGGTACAGGTCTGGGGCAGGGCTGTGGCCGGCCCCTGGACTCCTACACTGTATAAACCGCGTTTGCAGGGACGGGACCTACAGTACTGAGCTGCAGAACTGGCGCTGCTTTTGTGCCAGCTGCTACTTAAAATTACTTTGTAGAGGTTTTTGTATATTTTGTGTATTTATGCTTTCGTAAGCGGACACGGGATGGGCATTTGTTTCCTTCGTTAGCAAAGGACCAATTCTCAGAGCGGAGATGAAGCCGTTACTGTTGCAGACAGGGATGGCGGCGCTGGGAGCGTGGTCGATCTGCAGGTCGATAGCGGTCAAGAAAGCAGCTTCTTCCATTCACAGATCCCCTTCCACCAAAGCCAGGTAGTGACCTTCCCGCTTCCAAAGGCCGTGCTTCCCAGGCTCTGTCAAGCGCTGGGAGAGACCTGAGCATCTCTAGTAACTGCTGGGAAAACTAGAAGTGCTAAGGGTGAGATGGAAAGTGGCTTTTGGGTGCTTGAACATGGGCAGCTGGTGCAGCTTTGATGGGGCAAAGCATGCAGGAGAGCCCTGTTTTTCCTCGGAGGCAGGATTAGACCCACTGATGCAGGATTGAACCCCTGACACCACCCAAACACCAAAGGCTTCTTGACAACCTCTACCTGGGTTTGGAGCCACCTGCAAACATGACTCTGTCTCCAGGCCTCACCCAGCAATTGCCATTCCCGGTTTACAGACACTTTGGGTACGAGCAGGGATCTTAGATGGGGAAGATGCCTGAATGTATTTTGGGACCATATTTTATGTATGATGTATTTATGAAAGGTAGAAGTTTTTCTTGAGATATGTATGTGTATATATATATGGATATTGCAATGCAATTCTTGTGTTTATAAAATGAGCTTTATTTGAGTATGTTGTTTTCAGAGCAAAAGAGCAAAAAGCTCATGGGATTCTGGACATTTATTATGTTGCTGTGAGACTGCTAAGTCATGGATCTAAGTAAGCATCAACAAGGCGTTCCTGTGCCACAAACAGGTTATGTAGGTGTACAGGTAACTTAAAATATGTGAAAGTATGTTTCCCAGTCTCATATGAAGTATTATATTGCTATAAAAGCATAGAAATGTGATCAGTATTTCACGGGTACTTGTGTGTGTGTTTTTCATCAGTTGTCACCCTTTCCCAGCTGCTGCTCTCGGCAGGCGTGGGCTGGATCCGTGCTGCCTGGGAAGCCCGTGCTGCAGAGCCTCCTGCTAACGGGGCCACGGCCACCCCGTGGGGCTCCAGGCTTCACTGCAGGTCATCGCGGGGTCTCCAAGGAAGACAGTTTGGATTTAGGTTTGTGGTTAAATCGTAGTGTTAAGAAAGCCCCTCGTGGAATCAGGAGCTGCAGGCAGCATCGTCTGACTGGTAGGACAGCAGATGGCATTGAGACCCTGTGGGTTGCTGTCTCCTACTGACTTACCCTCTCCTCATGAGACAGAGGATGATTGCTTTAGAAGGCAAAATGAGGCTTTTGGTTGTTGGGGGAGAAAAACGAAGAGGGCAAGGTAATACCTTCGCTGCCCTCCTCCCTCCACAGACCACCCCCCTTAAAGCCATGGAGTTTCTCCCAGACCTGTGCTACGTAAATGAGGTCAAAGTCCTGTGTCACCTATAGTTTGCTTAAGGGGTATTTTGTGTTGTTAAAGAATACAAATAAACAGTGGAACGGTGGTTGGTATTGAGGAAAAGCCACAGGGAAGTAAAACAAATGAGAACACAGAAGGGAGTCCAAGCAGGAAGAACCGAACGTTATTTATTGTAGACAAAAACCCAGGCAGTCAATGAGCCATTTTTCTCTAGTAGAGATTTTGTTTGGAACCTTCCTGGAGGTTTTAAAACGACAGCAAATAAAAGCTTTGAATGTGATGCGCAGATGGTTTTGCAGAGCTTTTTCCTGCTGCTGTGGGCTCTCTTCTGTGCCCGGGTGAGCGGAGCAGCCTCGATGCCTCCCGTCCCGGCGGCTGCATCCCCCGCAGCCCAAGCTTCGTGCGGGAGCAGGAGCAGATACTGATAATGAAATTTTTATACTTCGATTAATATCATTCA